GCACCGACTGGGACCCGGGCGCCTGGCGTCCCCAGCGCCCATCTTGCTTTAGGAGGGGTCTATGGGGCCAACTCTAGCTCAGGCTTCAGAGGTTCGGGGAGCCGCCATGGGGCAGGGGCTGCAATGACTCTAGAACTAGGCCCTAAAAAGCCTTCCTAGAGTAGGCCCATAGAGACCTCCCTGTGCTGAGCTGTTGTGAAGGCTGCTCAAGGACCAGGCCTTCAAACCCTGGCTAGAGTAGGCCCAAGAGACACCATCACTGCCTGCTGCCATGGCAACGACTGGAGGACCAGGCCTTCAAACCCTGGCTAGAGTAGGCCCAATAGACACCATCACTAACCACTGTCATGGCCACAATGCAAGGCCCACGCCTTGAAAGCCTGGCTAGTGGCCCATTGCTACCCCCTATCATGGCAACAACTTGGTGTCTGGGCCTTCCCGCCCCAGCTAGAGTAGGTTCAAACCCCTGCCCTGGTGGTGGAGGGGGGCAGACAGAATTCATATGGGAAATTTTTTGGTGCTGAAAAGCCCAAACTTCTAAATTTTCCGCAACACAAAGCGCCCCCCGGCCACTTCCTGAGCTGTTGGCTCAACCAGAGACAAAATCTGGGCTATAACAAAGCAAAAAGAGATAGTTTCGGCAACAGCCGTATTTATCCGCAATTTCTGAGTGCTGGATTGCAAAGGGGGCAGGGGGGGAGGTGGGGGGTCACGTGAATGATACGGGATATGGATTTAATAATAAAATAGGTATTTTAAGAATAGAAATGTAATACTTCAATCTAAGATGAAACAACAAGGGCATAGAACTAGGGTAAGAGTGTATTAATAATTTAATGCGGTGCTGTATTGTACTGTAGCTAATATACCTCAGTTTTACCGAAACACAGTATTTTCCCCTTCTGGCAGCTAACTGGATGTGGCTGAATAAAAAAAGACCCAGAATAGCTTAAATGGTTCATTTTGACTTGTTTCCTGGTTTCTATCCCAGCTCTGGGGGGAGGCGAGAGCCTGGGAGCCGGGACAGCTGGGGTTTCTGGTCACATTTAAGAAGGGAGCGGGGATGGGGGTTAGAGGCCAGGGAAGCTGACGCCTGGGTTCAGTCTCTGCCTTGGGAGGGGAGTGGAGCCAAGGCTGGGGGGGATTGAGAGCCCGGACACCTGTCTTCTATCCCCACTCCACGGTTAATTTGGGGTGGGTGTGTGTGTACGGGTGTCTGTGGGGTAGCCAAGGCTTGAGAGAGCCCCTGGCTTGAGAGAGAAACCCCCTGGCTTGAGAGAGAGCAGGGGGGCTGGGAGCCCTCAAACCAACGCCCCGGCCCCCACTCCCTTCCCAGAGCAGGGAGGGAACCCGGGCTCCCAGCCTCACCCACAGTCCCCCAGACTCCTACCAGGGCGGGTATTGGTGAACTTTGTTGCTTCATGTGTGAATGTATTCTGGATGGCTCGGTTATGTGCATGTGTGTGCCCCGGATGCCTGGGTTGTGTGCATGTGTGCACCCCAGATGCCTGGGTTCTGTGCACAACATGTATGAGATACCCTGGGTTCTGTGTGTGCGTTCACATGCATCCTGGATGCCTGGGCTCTGTGTGCGTGTGGGGGTGTGCGTCCCGGACACCTGGGTTCTGTGGGTGTGCGCGCACGCTTGCATGTCCCAGATGCCTGGGGTCTCTGTGTCCCCTGCCCCATTCTTGCTTCCTACTCTCCATTCACGCCCTCCCTCTTCTCTCTCCCCAGCTCTCACCTTCTCTCCTGCCCGCCTCGCCTCGGTCTCAGCCAACCATGACACTCACCATGGCTCTCTCGCTCCTCTGGGTCCTCCTTGAAGGTACCATCCCCTCCGCAGCACCTTGGCCTTCACATCCTCTCCATCCAGGCCTGGGTGTTTTCAAACACCCCAGCCATGAGCCAGGGAACAGGAAACTGGCTGGACAATAGAAGGACATCATTCAGTCTGGAAGGAGCTGAGTCTCCAGATAGGCTGGGCTGCCCCAGTAGGACGGTCCTACTGGTTTGACTGGGTCTGCATTGGTCAGGGTCAGCTACAGGGCATGATGGTCGAGACCAGGCTGAGGGACAGCAGGGATCAGAGCCAGAGAGAGAGAGAGAGCAAGAAAGGATGGATGGAGGGAGGGAGGGAGGACTAGGAGAATGGCTGGGTGGATGGATAGAGGACTAAGAGGGCAGATGAATGTGTGGATGTCCAGAAAGACAAACACATGCACAGTAACAACCCCCAGTTCAGATCTTGCCCTTCCACCCCAAAGCTCTGACCAGGGAAGGGCCTGGCGGAGGGGCATGAGACAGACCCAGGCATACCCCTGACTTCCTCCCTCCCTCACAGGCGTGGCAGGCGGGCACTGGGGCGCCTGGATGCCCCTGCATATCTCGGCTTTCGAGGGCACATGCGTGGCGGTGCCCTGCCGCTTCGACTTCCCTGAGGAGCTGCGTCCGGCCACCGTGCACGGGCTCTGGTACTACAACAGCCCCTACCCCAAGAACTACCCCCCTGTGGTGTTCAAGTCCCGCACCAGCATTGTGCACGAGAGCTTCCAGGGCCGCACACGCCTGCTGGGTGACCTCCAGGCTCACAACTGCTCACTGCTCATCACCCGCCTCAGCCCCGAGCTGGCTGGCAAGTACTACTTCCGAGCCGACCTGGGCGGCTACAACCAGTACACCTACTCCGACCACAGCAACCTGGAGATCGTCAGTGAGTGCCACCAATGCCGCGGGGCTGGGGAGGCCAGAAGGGGGAATGGATCACTAGGGGTGGAGGGATCCACTAGAGGGTACTAGGAGGAGGGAATGAATCACTAGTGGGTGGGAGAGGGGAATCTACCACTAGGGGGCACTAGAAGTGGGTAATGCTGGGGTGGGCAATTATTTTGGGCAGAGGGCCGCTTACTGATTTTTGGCAAGCCATGGAGGGCCGCATGACAGGCAGCCAGGGGCAGATAAATATTAATTTTCTAATTTTTTAGGGGCCCCGCGGGCTGGATAGAATGGCCTGGTGGGCTGCATCTGGCCCCCGGGCCAAATTTTGCCCACCCCTGGGGTAATGGATCACTAGAGAGTGGAAGAGGGAGGATCTATGACTAAGGGGCAGTAGAAGGCAGGGGTGGATCACTGGGGGGAGGGGGAATCTACCACTAGGGGGCAGTAGAAGGTGGTAGAGGATCACTAGGGGGTGGGAGACCGGGGAATCTATCACTAAGGGGGCAGTAGAAAGGGGTAATGGTTCACTAGGTGGTGGTAGGAGGGGATCCACCACTAAGGAGCTGTAGAAGGGGGAAATGGATCACTAAGGGGTGGGGGGAATCTATAACTCGGGGGCGGTAGAAAGGGGTAATGGATCACTAGGGGGTGGTAGGAGGGGATCTACCACTAGGGGGTGCTTGGGGTAAAGGACCACCAGGGCTGACACAGCACCTGGGTCCCCTCCCTGCCCAGACCCCTGGGTTCTCTCCATGCTCTGCGAGAAGGGGGGGGGGGGGGCCAATTGGGGCCCGGTGTGCTGCCATGCACCCAGACACCTGGCTTCACGGCCTATCCCCCCCTCCAGACAAGCCGACCATCATGGTGCCGCTGGTGGTGGTGGAGGGGGCAGAGGTGGAGCTGCGCTGCCTGGTGCCCGACAACTGCCCCGAGATGCGCCCGGTGGTGAGGTGGCAGGGCCACGAGGAGCTGGCAGAGCAGACGGTGCAGGCCCGGCTCGAGGAGACCGATGGCAACTGGACCCAAGTGTCCGGGGTGCGGTTCCTGCCCAGCCGCCGGGACCACGGCCGCACCCTGGCCTGCCGTGTGACCTACACCAACACCACCTTCGAGTTCGAGGACCGTGCCACCCTCGACGTCAAGTGTGAGCCTGGATGCTGGGGTTCCCTCCCAGGAGAGCCAGGACACCTGGGTTCTACCATGGGGTTGGGGTGGGGGGGAACACCAGAGATCCCACCTGGGGTTGGGGTGGAGCCAGGACACCTGGGTCTCCTCACCCTGCTCTGGGAGGGGAACCTGGCCTAGCAGGGAAGCCCGGATGCCTGGGTTCTCTCCAGCTCTGAGATGAGGGGGCGGGTTAGAGGAGGAGGAGGGGCTGGAAGCCCAGATGCCTGGGATCTCTCCTGGTAAGAGGTGGAGGGGTGGGGAGCCCGGACACCTGGCTTCTCTCCTGGCTCTGGGTGGGCAATGGGGCTGAGGGGTTAGAGCGAGGTGGGGCCTGTCCCCCATATGCCTGGGTTCCCCCCCGCATATAGTGGGGGAGACGGGCCTAGCAGGGCACTTGGGTTCTGCTGCAGCTCTAGCACCTGGGTCTGGGTAAAAATCAGAGGCTGGGGCGTCAAGAGCATGAGGGACGGATGGCCTGGTATCCGGACACCTGGGTCCTCCCCAACCCTAACCCCTGACCTCTTCTCCCCCTCCTCTCTCCCCTGCAGATGAGCCGCACATTGTGGAGATGACAGACTCACTGGAGGCCACGGAGGGGGCATCTGTGGTGCTGGCATGCGCAGCTGATGCCAGCCCAGTGGCGCTGCTGACTTGGGCGCAGGGTGCGGCAGTGCTGGCCGAGGAGCCAGGCACGCGCCTGGAGCTGCAGCTCTACAATGTCACCCCCGCCCACGATGGCATCTACACCTGCGTGGCTGAGAACGTCCATGGCCGCGCCAACCGCTCCCTCGGCCTCACCGTGTTCTGTGAGTGTCCCTGCACCCAGGCGCCGGGATTCTCTGCAGGGTGGGGGCTGGAGCAGGGTGGTTAGAGCAGTGAGGACCGGGTCCCATCCTCCCCCAACCCTGCAGATGCTCCACGGCCGCCTGTGATCAATGCCTCGGGGGTGGCAGTGGAGGGGGAGCCCGTGACCATTGCATGCAGCACGGAGAGCAACCCCGAGCCCATTCTCAGCCTGCTGAAGGAGCGACGTGTGCTGGCCACAGCTGTTTATGAGCGGCAGCTGGCGCTGGACCTCCCCGGCGTCACCCACGAGGATGACGGCGAGTACTGGTGTGTAGCTGAGAACCAGTATGGGCAGCAGGCCACCGCCTTCAACCTCACCGTGGAGTGTGAGTCACCCATGCCCACCCACCTAGGTTGGGGGGGGGGAAACAGTGGGTCCCTATGGGTGTCCTCTGCAGCCATTCCACCCCAGAACCAGCCGCATGGTGGCACTGAACAAGTCTTCCTGCCAGGCTGTTATAAGTAGCTGCTCCTCACCTGCCCAGGCTGAAAGCTGGCTGTATCGCAAGCCCTCCTCAGGCTGTTATATACCGCCATCCCCGGGACTTGGCTGCATTTCAGCACCAACCTATACAGTGCCATACACAGCTGTTCCTCAGATGTCCCACCCCAGAGCTGACTGCATCTTAACCTCAAGCAACCTATAGCTGTTTCCCACCCCAGAGCTGGCTGCATCTCAGCACTAAACAACCTAGTGTTATACTCAGCCGTTCCCCAGCTGTCCTGTCCCACCGCAGAGCTGGCCACATCATGGCCCCAAGCAACCTGTAATGTTAAATGGATCTGTTCCTCAGTCGCCCCACCCCAGAGCTGGCTGCATCTCAGCACCACACAACTTCTGTGTTGTTATACTCAGCCATTCCCCAGCTGTCCTACCCCAGAGCTGGCCACATCATGGCCCCAAGCAACCTGTAATGTTATATGGATCTGTTCCTCAGTTGCCCCACCCAAGAGCTGGCTGCATCTCAGCCCTGAACCCCCTGCCTAGAGTTGTTGATGGCCACCCCCACCCCTGTAACTGACCAGCCATGTTCCACCCCCCTGCCCACAGTCACACCGATAATCCTGCCGGAGTCGCGGTGTACGGCTGGGCGGGACACGGTCCAGTGCATCTGCGCTGTCAAGGCCAACCCTGAGGCGGCTGTGACCTTCGAGCTGCCCACACGCAATGTGAGCCTCAACGAGAGCGCACGGGAGGTGGCCCAGACAGAGCGGGCTGGCTATGCCCTCACCAGCATCCTCACGCTGCGTGGCGAGCTTGACTCCCAGCTCTATGTGCTGTGCGCTGCCCGCAATGCCCACGGTGCCCGCCGCCGCCAGCTGCACTTCCACCACGCCAGTGAGTGCCCCTGCAATACCCCTGGGTTCTGGGCAGCAGCCCTACAGTGCCCTGTGCTGGGCCAGCCCACCCAGCACTTCTGCCTCTAACTTCTCCCTCTCTGGCTCTCTACAGACAGCCTCATGTGGGCCAAGGTGGGGCCGGTGGGGGCCGTGGTGGCCTTCGCCATCCTCATCGCCATCGTTTGTTACATCAGCCAGACCCGCAAGAAGTAAGTCCCCAACCCTGCAACTGTCCCGTCCCCTCCCCCACTCCGCTCTGAAAGAAAAGCACCCAATATTGGACTTTAAGGACAATTTTGGGTCAGGAAAAGCAGTCCGATTCTTCACATTCCCCTCCAAGCCAGGCATTTTGAAGGCTTTTCTGACAAAAACACCACTGAAGCGGTGATCGCACTCAGAGCATCCCTGTCCTGATCTCACAGAAACCATTCTAGTAACAATGACACAAATACAGAAGCACTGAGTCGCCCCAATGCTTCCATCATATAGCTCATCCCAAGCCTATTCCCATTTCACAGACAGGAGGAGGGGAGCAGTGTCTTCGATCTTGGCCAGTGGTTTTCAGCCTGTGGTTCGCACACCCCAGGGCGTTCGCAGGCTACATCCAAGGGGTTCAAGAAAGATGATTGTGCTCTATCAGAAGTATGTGAATACCCACACTTACCATTTCGAGGGGTCTGCACCTCCATTCCAAATTTTTTAGGGGCCTGCAAATGAAAAAAGGTTGAAAATAACTGCTCTAGGGCCATAGTCATGTGATCAATGCTGTTGTAAGAAAATGCAGTGAATCTAAAAAGTGTTTCATTATTATCCACGATAGTAATACAATACATTCGTCGTATTATAACAAATTGTATTATGTTACATTTATATTGCACTGCACTGGTTTTGGGACAAGCTGACTGGTAAGTTATATCTAAACCAACACAAGGCAATGCAGCATAGCATCATGTAACACAATACAATAGAAAGTAGCTTGTAATCTAATTTTTAAACAAATATGTGATGCGATTGCAAGATGATTTATATACCATACCATGCCATATTTTTCCAGCCTAAACTGATCTACAATCTATAATCTATATTATGTCTACAATATGATGTGATTATATAATATATAAATAAGCTAGTAATCACATCACATCATGTATCAGTTTACGTTAGATTATAAAATGATTTCTACTGTATTATGTTACCTTACGTTGCATTGGTTTAGATCTATATAAATTGGCTTGTAATTCTATCATAATGTAATATAAGGTAATGTAATATTTTACATTTATACGCATATTATGTTATATTATGTTATACAATGTTATACTGTTAGGTTATGTTATATTGCATTATATAACAACATAATGTAATATAGTATATATGATGTTACATTATATTACGTTATATTACATAATATAATGTAATATAATGGAATGTAATAACATAACATGACATAGGTTTTATAGATAATATAATGGGATGTAATACAATGTGACATAATATAATACAATATAACAATGTAATATAATGGAATGTAACATAGTGAAATGTAATATAATTCAAGCTGATGAATATACATATCTAAACCAATGTAATGCAATATAATACAACATCACGTAAACCAGTATGTGATGCAATGACCAGTTGATTTATGTATTATAATTGCACCATATCATATATCAGTTTAGATTAGATTATAGGATGATTTATTACAGATATTATGTTATAGCCTATGGCACTGCACTGGTTGAGAGAGATGCATCAGCTTGTAATGATCTATTCTATTCTCTTCTGTTCTGCTCTTTACACACAGCTGCAGCTCGACGTGCCGTCCCTGGAATTATATTGTATTGTGTTAGTTTCCAGCCACGGCATATCGATCCGCAGCTACTTCTGAATGTTATCACACCACATCACACTCAGCATTACTGGATGCTCTAGGTGTGACAGAGCTGAGACTAGAACCCAGGTGTCACCCCTCACCGCTCCGCGCGGGTAGGGCCCTGCAGGCAGTGGGTGCTTGCAGCCCCATCACGTTGTGTCTCATCCTCCAGGAAGAGCGCTTCATCCAGACCGAGACCCCGCCCGTGGTCTACAGCGGGGACCTGCGGCCCAGCCTGCACAAGTCCGAGGTGCGGGTGTAGGCGGGGATGGATGGACAAGGGGGTGGGAGAGTGGCACATGGGTGGATGGATTAGAAGGTTATAGAGAGAGGGATGGATGGATGGACAGATGGATGGATGGTGGATGGATGGATATAGAGATGGGTGGGTGGTTACAGAGATGGGTGGATAGATGGACAGACTGATGAGACTGCCCCTCCAACCCACCTGTGGGCACCCAATCCCCGACTTACCCACTCACTGGATAAGGACGGGGCAGGGGTCTTCCCCCTCTGGACACCACCAGCCCAATCTGAACCTAATCCAGGGGCGCTGGCTGTTTTGGGGGGGGGGAGGGGTGTGACACTGGGATTTTCCCTCCATCCCACTCCCCCCAGATGCCCCCCATGACCCTCTCCCTTCTCCGCCAGTCCAAGGAGATCTGCTCCCTGGAGAGCCACTGACCCGGGGTGGTGAGTAGGGATCCCCGTGTCCGCCCCCGCCTGTGTCAGATCCCCGCCCCGCCAGGGGTCACCGCACTGCTCCCACCCCCACCCCCCTGCGCTGTGGCTGTCCTGTGTCTGTGCTGCAGAGGGGGGCCCCAATCCTGGGCCTGGGATGGGGGGTGCATGGTGGGTGTCTGTGCCTGGCTGGTCTCCCCATGTGCCTGTCTGCTGCCTCCATGCCATGTCATCTCTGTGGGGTCCCCACCCATGGGGGGGATGCAGGAATGGGGGGGCATCCCCCAAGTCTGCCCCGGGGTGGTGGTGGGGAATTTCCAGGGGTTTAACCCTATAACACCCAGCAGTAGTGGGGGAGAGGGTGCGCACTATGGGTTAACTCTTTAATGCCCAGCAGTGGGGGGGTGCCCCCCCCATGTGGGCTAACCATTTAATGCCTGGGAGGGTCTCCGGGTTAAGCACATCCTGGCCAATTAACCCTATAATGTCCAGTGGCCCATTAACCCTTTAATGCCCAGGGACAGGGAGCCCCCACCGCTGTGGGTTAAGCCTTTAATAGGCAGTGACCCAGAAGCCTCAGCCAGTGGACTATACTGTCCACTGGCTTCCCCCACCCCCACAGGTTAACCCTTTAATGCCCAGTGGCCAAGTGTGGAAGGTTAACCTTATAATGCCCAGTGGCATGGAGACCTAAGAGTTAACCCTGTTGTGCCCAGCAGCACAAAGACTCCCCAGCCTGTGCTGACCCCTTCCCTCCCCCCCGGCCCCTGTGCTCTCCCCCGCAGTTTGGGTGGCGCCCGGCCTCCGACAAACGCCTGCTGAGCAAGCGTGAGGGCTCTCTGGACCTGGATGTGGACTACGCCAACATCGACTTCGCCAAGCTGAGCACCAAGGACAGCTACACCCTGACCGAGGAGCTGGCCGAGTACGCTGAGATTCGTGTCAAGTGAGGTCCGCCCCTGCCGGGAGGCCACACCCAGCAACAAAGACCCCCTCCACCCACTGCCAGATCCACACAGTGACAGGCCATGCTCATTGCCCCTGTCAGGCCACACCCATTGCCGCAGGCCCCACCCACCCACTGCCAGGCTATGCCCCCCCGCCCTCTCAGGGACAGGCCACTCCTGTTATCACAGACTGCCCTTGACACCCATCGTCATGGCCCCTTCCCATCCAGCCTGGCCACGTCCTCTATTCCCTCCCAGCCCCTCCCTCTGCCATGGAGGCAGGACACATGCCCACGGACACATGGAAGAGAGAGGTCGACAGCCCACACAGGGCTTGGCCACACCTCCCTGTGCAGGCCATGCCGCCTGCCATAGGAAATCAAGACCCCATGAGCCTGTCCACACCTGCTGAATAGACATTCCTGGTCATGGCCATCAGGCATCCCAGCGACGGGAGGGACCTCTTCATTTCCCCCATCTCCGTGATTCAAGCTACCTGTCTCCAGACGCAGCTGCAAATGGATCTAATCCCAGGGTGGGGACAGAGCGGGAGCTGGTTTTCCACAGCCTCTCCCAACATCGTCATCCTTCCACGCATCTTTCCCAGTCCTACCAGCATGCTGTGCCTCAGTTTCCCCATTGCAACCTCCATCCAGGGGCTCTTCCTTCCTTCTTCCAGCTCCCACTGGGCCAGCTTGAGCCAATGGACCTTGCAATACCGTCCATCCTAGAAAGTCAAGCAACTGGTTAGCTCTCTCTGCTGGACCCCAGTAGCCACTTCTCTGTTCCCCACCCACAACCCTCCAGATCCAGCCCCCTCCCCCTTTTATTTTGCATTGAAGTAGCTTTGTCTAAAGATTAACATCACTTACAGCAATCCCCAGCCAGGAAGGGACCCATATAGTGGTCCAGATGGCCCCCTCATTCAAAGGCATCCCGCCATTATTACTTGAACTGGTATCTCGGGGAGGGGAGGGGAGGGGAATCGCGGTGCAGCCTTGATACCTTTATTCACGTCCGTCCATCCTCTCAGAAGAACTGTCAGTTCGTCCAGACTGGACCCATCTAGTCTGTCCATCCAGAGCCCAACGGCCAACATGCGTAGGAATTCCTGATTAATTCTTCTCACACTTCTGCTCCCAGAAGCCCCCTGTCCTCTGCTGCAGGGCAAGCGGAGAGACTTGGATAACAGAGTCATCTCTGATTCTTTTCGGCGCCCTTTTTAGTCGGGGAAGTCCCCCCCCCCCCCAACTGCTCCCCAATATTTGCCCGATGCACTGGAGACAAAATGATGGCTCGAAACTAACATCACCACTTTCTAACCAGAGCTTAATGCAGTTTGGACGCATCCCTAACCCTTGTAACTCTCCAGGCAACCTCAATCGATGGTCTATTTATTGGTAGGTGTTAGTGGATATAGTTAGGTTTAAAAGCAACCTCAAATTGGCCAAGTGATGGGGCTCTGACAGGGCTCTGGAGGGCACAGGATGATGCTCACAGTAGAGCCAATCAACAATCCTCCTCTTGTAGGGTTTTGCCATAGAGAAACAGCTGCTTTTTCCATATGAATGTGTCTGGCTTTTACGTTATCGTATTTTCTCACATACCGTATGCCCTCAACTAAGACCTGCACCTTGCTGTGGGCAACCAGCATGATGAAAAGATGTTTTCCAGGCTTCCCAGTCAGAGCTTAGCCTTGCCATGACCACGGGCTGCGTGGAGCAGGGACCGAGTCGCTCAACATCTCTCCCCACCAGCTACTCGCACAAAAGCTTGCACAGCTGCTGCCAAAGTGCACAGTGCAGCCTCCTGGAAGCCATTCTGGCATCCCCACAACTCCTTTCTGGCATGGAAAACATGGTTCTCAATTAAAACATGTGCCCATTTTTTGGAGAATTAATTTTTGCTGAAAAGGTGCATGTGGTACACGTGTCAATATGGTACTTTGGGGGGTTTTGGTTGGGGGCAGGAATAAAAAAAAAAAAATGAAGCTTCTCACAAATCAAAACCTGAGACCCATGTTCCTTGCCCTATCCCCTATGGCAGCAAAGAACAGTCCATGCTATTAAAAAGATCCGTTTTTATAATGCTCTTTTTCATTTTCCCAGGAAATGTTGTTCAAAGCTGCACTGAGTATTGTACTAGAAGGAGCAGTTTTGGTTGCGATGTAGCTTTGGCTTTTCGAGGGTTGGGGTGTGGAAGAAAAATCAAAACAAAACATTTTTTTGCATTTTTGGAAATGGGCCAGATGGATTTTTCATTTGGAAATGAATGTCAGGGTTAAACCTTATTGGATATGCTATTCAAAGGTAGCACGATGGATTTTGATGCGATCTCGCTTCTGGGAGGGGGAAAAAATCTAATGAAAGCATTTGGATGATCTATTTTAACATAAAATCATAGGGCACTTGTACATGTGATGAAAATTGCCCCTTTTTGCAATTTAACTGCATTACAGTTTAAACGTATGGGGTTTTTTTGCAACTCAGAGAACTGGGGCTGGAAGGGACATGCCAGAGGTTACAACTAGTCCAGCCCCCTGCCTGCGGCAGGATCAGCCCTGTCCAAACCATTCTATCCACATCCATAATTTAGTAAATTAGTAAAAAACTACCAACCCTGACACAGCAAAGGATATTACACCTGAGCCTGCCATAGGTAAAGCAGGGGGACCAGGGTGGCCAATGTCCTGTTACTGTGAAAGGTTGTTAATGCATGCACATAGTTGGAAGGGAACCTTTTCAGTTCTCATTTGGAAATAAATCTTTTAACCTCAATTTCATACACATGGAGAAGTCAGGAGGGAAAAGGAGGTGAAATTTCCCAGTCCTGGAACATCTTAAAGTGTCAAAACCAAACAAAATCACTGCATTTCCCAATGGAAGAGAAATCCTATTTCCTGTGCCATTCCAAAGCTCATGCCTGTACCAGCGCCCTGTGAAAGTCCCGTCACTGAAATGCCGAATTCAGGTCCCGATTTGTTTATACTAATTTGTTTGTAAAATTTCCTTCCATTCTTGGTTTCTCTGTAAATAAGGACAAATAAAAGAAGCCAAGAATTTCTTTCCATAACTTTTTAGGATCTTCTCTCTCTCTTTGTACACGTAAGAATGTCTGTGTGTGTGTGTGTGTGTGTGTGTGTGTGTGTGTGTGTGATATGGGGAAGTGGCCAAGGTATAGCCCTGATCTGACAGCGGACTGAAAACTAGCAAACATATCAGAAGAACGGTATTAATCCCAGGCTCACATCAGTCTCGGCGCAGGCCACTGTTTGGTGAGATGCCCGAGCATATAATGCCTTTAACCCAGCCGACTTTGTACTCTGGAGGAAATAAATGCTGTTTTACCAATCGACCCCTTCTCTCGTCATCTGCTTCAAGGTATTCCTACCTGCAGCCTTGGATAGTGACCGGTTCATTGATCCACCCATCCTGCGAGTACGTGCTACACACAAAGTCCTAGAGTAGGGGTGTCAAACACACAGCCCATGGATACGCTTGTACCCACCCGCCAGGGCTCCTAGAGAAGCTGGGGTGAGGCCTGCCACTGAAATCTATGGTGAAGCCCCACAGGGAACATGAGTCTGTGTTTGTCCCCAGACGGCTGTGTTCCCAGGTGCGTATCCAGCCCACAAGGAGCCCCACGGTCCATGTGTGTCCTGGGGGGCAGAAGAATCTGCCAGCTCTGTTCTAGAGGGGTTGCCTGAAAAACATCTGCTCAAATTCACTAGAGACTGGGGCTGCAGGCATTGCCTTGTCTCTAGCCGTCACGCCCTGAACCCATGGCTACGGCCCACAACTTGCTTCTCTTCTGACAGCGCTCGGGCATCCTCTGTGTTACCCACCACGCAAATCCTCCACAGTGTCAGGCAGCAAAAACACTTATTTCTTCTTCTCTTTCTTCCCAAACTGAGCAGGATAGAGCTTTATTTGAAAGCAAGGAATCACACAGGGGAGAACAGTGGTGGGCTCAGAGACACCCACCCAAGGTGGATACAAGTCAGGGTAAAATACACATTACTCATTATACAACAGCTAAAATCTCAGCCACTTCAGAGGCCTGCCGGGAAGATGGGTAGGTAGGTCAATTATGCAAATAGCAAATGCCATGGATTTCCATATGGAAATTTCAGCCAAAGGGTGGGGAAATAGCTGTCCACACCTCATTAAGGCTTGTTACATTATGTTCTGCTTCATTAAAAGCCTCTTGTGTCTGCTTAGCCATACCTCCTTAAAGCACCCCAGTATTTGGTCCCACCATCCACTCCTCTTTAAAGCTTATTATTACATTTTGTGCCAACATCCAGTGCATGCCTCATTCAAAGCCGCTTAGCTGTCCACAGCTCATTAAAAATTTGCCATACTCCAGCCCACCACTCAGGCCTCGTTAAAGCTTCTTACATCACACACCATTATCCACACCTTGTTCAAAGCTGTGTACATTGTACTTAGCTGTCCTGAGAAGCCAGGCTTAAGGCAATCAATTCATAACAGAGCCTAATTAGCATAATTCAATGCCCTAGGGACCATGGGACTCAGGAAATGGAGAGAAAATTTCCAGGCAACATAGCCCCTTCCACCCATAAAGCTCCACTGATCTTCTCTCCCATCACTGATCCCAGGACGTGACCCCCAGTCCCCACTCCTGAGACTGGTGCCAGGACTAGGGGTGATGGGGTTGCCCACGGCTGACGCGTAGTGCTTGATGTTGGCATAGTCACAGGTAAGGTCTGAGGCAGGTGCGCGGCTCTGCGGGGCTGGTTGGATCTTGACAGTGGAGTATTGGACGTTGTCAGGGTTGGTCTAGGGGGGAAAAGCCACCGGGCATTAGGCTGGGGACTAGCACCATGGGTCGGGCTGGCAGGGCTACAGCATGAGGAGCTGGGAGCCAGGACACTTGGGATCCCTCCCCAGCTCTGCTCTGAAGAGTGTCAGCTCTAGGAGAGGACTGGGAGAAGGAAAAAGCCTGACTACTGCTGCCAGACCTTCCCCCCCTGTCCCCACAACCCAAGCTCAAGCAGCAGAAGCCAGTGCTACCATGAGGTGGGGGCTGGACTGGGGCCAGTGCCTCGCAACCCTAGGTCCTGGATTAAACGTCTTTGCTGCCCTAGTAGCTCTGATATACCCTGCATGGAGCTGCGATCCCCTCTGCCCCCACCCCAGCCCCAGCCGGGACTGACATCATTCCAGCTGTGTTAGCGTCCAGTCCATCTGCTCGGGGAGGGAGAGAGGCCAGCTCGTGTCTCCCCCACCTTCCACCCCATCCCTGGCACTGAGCTCACCCTAGTCCAGCCTGAAAGCTAAAAGGGCCCAATTGTGCTCCAAGGGGGTGACATCGGGGCAGAGCTGGGGAGAGAACCCAGGTGTTTGGGCTCCCCGTTCTAACCCCCAAGTCCTCACTCCCCTCCCAGAGCTGCACAGAGCCCATGGATCTGGGCTCCCAGCCCCCTCACACCCCACTTCCCCTCCCAGAGCAGGGGTGGAGCCCAGGCGCCCAGGCTCCTGGGACGCACCAGCGAGCTGCTCACCTTGGGGGCTGTCTTCATGGGCTGGCTGTAGATGGTGGCTGCCCTGCTGTTCCCTGCGGCTCTGCTGGGTAGGGGGGAAATGAGAGAGGGACATGTTACTGGGGTAGGTGCAGGGGTGGAGAAGGGCCTTCACCACCCAGCCCTTAGGGAGCTATGGAGCATTGCAGTTCCCGCCCCGCCAGCAGAGCTGCACAGGAAGGCAGGCAGGCAGTGGGACTGTGGGGCTAGGGGAGACATCACAGCGTGGTCTGAGGTCTAAGGACCAAGGGCTGGAGGCATGGGGGAGTGGTGATCCAGGCCTGATTCAGGAGCATCGTCATGGACAGGGGGTGAGAGAATGGCAATGTTTTTCCACCTCCATCAAGGCATGCTCAACATACACTCACACACACACAAAGAACACAGGCACCTGGAACACGTGCAAACACACACACGCATCTCTGCATGTTGGGACACTCACAAAGAACCCAGGCATCTGGAACATGTGCCTGTGCACACGCACGCACGCACACACAAAGAGAACGCAGGCATCCAAAACACACACACACACACCCCCCCCTTGAACCATGTCTCTCACACTCCACTGCCGCCCAGGCATCCAAGACACACCCCGCAAAACCCAGGTGTCCGATACATCCCCACCACCCCGCACCCAGGCATCTGTAGTGCGTGTATGCACACCCCACCTCCCCCAAAGCCCAGGTGCCTGACACATGTACGCATATACAAACCAGGCATCTGGGTCTCACACACACACACAAACCCCAGGTGTCTGAGACACCTCCCCCGCCCCCCCAAAACACAATTCCCCTGAGCAGAGAGCACTAGCACACTACCTCCCCATCTGCGCTGTGGAAGATTCGGGGGGGTATCCATGTCCAGCTGCTCCTTGCCCAGCTCAGGGGCATCCTGGGAACCCGCATCACCTGGCTCGTGCTGCTCTATGTTCTTGTACATCAGCTCTGACATCGGGGCGTCCACCTGGGCCTGCGGCGGGGGAGAAGGGGAGGGTGACACAGCAGCCCAGGAAACCAGGAGTCTGAGCATCCAGCCCTGTGGCTCTACCCCACCCTCATCCGGACACTGCAGAGCTCAGGAGAGACCCCAGGCGTCCAGGCTCTGTGCCCCGCATCCCAGATCGGGGGAGACCCCAGGTGTCTGGGCTCTCTGCCCCCCAACTCCCACGCACTTTACCCCCTGCTCCCCTCCAAGATCAGGGGGAGACCCCAGGCGTCCAGACCCCCAACCACTCCTGCTCCAACCTGTAGACACCCCTCCCCTCTCGGAGCTGGGAGACAGCTGCGGCCTTTCCCCTTCACTCACTGGGCTGTAGTGTCCTGCCATGGTGGCCTTGCTTTGCTTTCTCCCCCATTTCTTCCTGCACATAAAAAACAGACGACAAGTATTTGGGTAGGAACAAAACCCTCTAACACATGAACTCGGTGGTATCACCCCAAATCCCACCCCTGGATTGAAAACATATGCTTGTTTTAATTAGTAGCATTCATTTCCTCCCTGTTCTACAGGAAAAAAAACTTGCAGTTGTTCCCATGCAAAACACTACAGTAATTTGGCACGGAAAACCGTGAAGTGAACCTTCCGGGGGCTTTTTCGCCCTATTTCGTCCTTGCCCAAAATGGTTGGATGTTTTGATGTTCCCAAATCCGCCTTTTGTGGCTGGAAAAAAAAAGCCCCCAACAGTGTTCCCTTCGAAACCAATCCTTTCTAGGCTTTTTCATCAGATTCCTTCCCTCCAGAAACTGGCCAAAGGCTTCTAGGATCCCAGAATCTGCTTGTTGCCCCAAGAGACCTCTAAAAATGCCCCTTTTGACCTATAACCTCAGCCCGTTTCTAGCTGGAAACAGGTGGGGTTGTGTCTGCACCAAGTGCATGCTGCAGAAACCCTCGTGCTTCAGCCAAGGAACCTCGTTACATCACTGAAGTGATGGAAAAAGGCCCCAAATTCATATAAAAACTGGGGCAGGGCAGAAAACGGGGCCAAAATAGCCCCATGCCCGCCCGCCCCCCCCGGCTGTGGGGATCTTACTTATAAGCCACCAGAGGAGGGGTGGCTTGGCCCCAAACCCATCACAGCAGGAGCTAGGCGCGGGCGGCCGCACCCCGCGCAGCACGACTGAGCGCGACCCTCGCCCCCGTCGCGCTCCCCGCACGGCGAGGCCGACTCCCGC